GCTGGGTGCAGTGGCTCAAGCCTATAATCCCAGCACTTTGGGAGGCCGAGGCGAGAGGATTGCCTGAGCCTGCGGGTTTGAGACCAACCCAGGCAACATGGTGAGACCTCGTCTCTACAATAAATAAAAAAATTAGCTGGGCATGGTGGCGTGCACTTATCATTCGGAAGGCTGACGCGGAAGGATCGCCAGAGCCCAACAGGTCAAGGCTACAGTGGCAGGGAGCTGCCACTGCACTGCACTCCAACCTGGGCAATAGAGTGAGACTCCAACTTAAAAAGAAAAAAAAAGTAAATTATGCCTCAATAATAATAAAATGCAATACCCAAATTCTAATAAAGATGGGGGTTAGAGAAGACTAGAACAGATAAGACTCAAAGCAAAGAAGGAAAATAAGCCCAGGAAAAGCTTCCCAACCTGAAAACCAAGGAAGTTTGGGCAATTGAGGAGCTGCTACTCGCCAGGCCCTCAGCCAGATCCTTCCACCTATTTCCACATTATGTCCAGACCCAGCAATGTCCGGTGAAACTCAGACTGTGATGTAGTTTGATGAGCCAGGGAGGAGGTGAGGCAGTTCTGTGATGGAGAAGCTGGTGAACCCAGATGAATGGCAGATGGCAGACTGTCCAGCATGTGGGGTGTGTGCTGTGGGATAAAAGATGCAGGAGGTTGGGTGCAGTCGAGGAGGTAAAGAGAAGAAAGGAAGTGAGAGAACAGTGAGGAAACATCTGAATATTCTCACAGACTTGAACAACCAGAAAATTGAGTCCTTCTCTGACCCAGCCTTCTCTTCCACAGGTAAAGGAATAAAATTTCTAATTTTTTTTTTTTGAATTGGAGTCTCACTCTGTCACCCAGGCTGAAGTGCCATGGCACACTCACGGTCACTCCAGTGTTGACCTGCTGGGCTCCAGCGATCCTTCCACCTCAGCCTTCCAAGTAGCCAGAAATACAGGCATGCCCTACTGTACCCAGCTCATTTTTATCTATTGTAGAGATGAGTTCTCTCCAAAGCTTGATTTCTTTTTTTTTTGAGTTGGAGTCTCACTCTGCCGCCCAGACTGGAGTGCACTGGCCGCTCCCGGCCACTGCAGCCTCGACCTGCTGGGCTCCAGGGATCCTTCTGCCTCAGCCTTCCAAGTAGCCGGAATTACAGGCGTGCGCCACCACGCCCGGCTAATATTTTGATTTATTGTAGAGATAAGGTCTCGCCTGCCCAGGCGGGTCTCGAACCCGCGGGCTCGGGCAATTCACTCACCTCAGCCTCCCAAAGGCATGGGATTACAGGCTGTGCTACCGAGCCTGGCTAAAAGCTTGATTTTTTTAAAGAAATTTTAGGCCAGGCACAGTGGCTCACGCCTATAATCCCAGCACTTTGGGAGGCCGAGGCGAGAGGATTGCCTGAATCCAGGGACTAGAGACCAGCCTGAGCAACTTGGTAAGACCAAGTCTCTACAATAAATAAAAAAACAGCCAGGCATGGTGTCACATGCCTGTGGTTCCAGCTACTTGGAAGGCTGAGGCAAAAGGATCGCCAGAGCCCAGCAGCTCGAGGCTGTGGTGACCGGGAGCGGCCACTGCACTCCAGTCTGGGCGACAGAGTGAGACTCCAACTCACAAAAAAAAAAAAAAAAAAAAAAAAAAATCAGACATGTGAGAACTCTGCCACTAACTTATTTTATGTGTCTGGAATGTGCATCAAGCTATGCTCTGTGCTAGAGGTTACCTGTCTACAGTGTAGAGTTGAATTTTGTTTCAGTAAGTCTGTGACATTTCTTTTTTTAACCAATCTCATTAAATCAAATGTAAGATAATAGTGTTGATGAAAACAAGGAAAAGGTTTTGATGGCTCAGTAGGGATGAAAGTTTCCTCACCCAAAGTCTTGGATTGCTTTTTCATTTCCTCAACCATGACCAATCAGCCTGAGACAATATATAAGCAAATGGTCAGGCAGCACGGCCACTCGGGGCCTGAGTTTGCTGACTTATGGCCTAGAGAATGGGGCTATTGCTCCTGGCTGCATATTAGAATCACCTGAAGGGCCCATAAACCACTAATGTCCAAGTCACCCCCCCATCTGAATTCTTTTATTTTTTTGAGTTGGAGTCTCACTCAGTCGCCCAGACTGGAGTGCAGTGGCCGCTCCCGGCCACCGCAGCCTCGACCTGCTGGGCTCCGGCGATCCTTCCGCCTCAGCCTTCCAAATAGCTGGAACTACAAGCGTGCATTATCACGCCTGGCTGATTTTTTTTATTTATTTATTGTAGAGATGAGGTCTCACCAAGTTGCCCAGGTGGGTCTCGAACCCGCGGGCTCAGGCAATCCACTCACCTCAGCCTCCCAAGGCGCGGGATTACAGGCTGAGCCACCAAGCCGGGCTCTGAATTCTTTTAAAAGCTACTAGGTGCCAGGAGCAGTAGCTCCCAGCTGTAATCTCAGCACTTTGGGAAGCAGAGGTGAGAGGATTGCCTGAGTCCAGGAGTTCAAGGCCAGCCTGGGCAACTTGGCAAGACCTCATCTCTACAATTAAAAAAAAAAATTAGCCGGGTGAGGTGGTGCACGCCTGCAGTTCCAGTTACTTGGAAGGCTGAGGTGGAAGGATTGCCAGAGCCCAACAGAAAACAACTGTTCTAGAAAGAGAATTGTACATTGTAGCTTCTCAGGAATGGGGGTAGGTGGGTAGATGAATTCTAGGAGGAGCAGTGATGATCCGGGGCTGAATCATCTAGATTCAGATGAGGGGGGTCCAGATGGAGATTAGAATCGCTTCAGGTCAACTGAACAAGCCAAGTGCTTCCCATACTTTGAGTGAATGCTCTTTATTGGTCGCTTTTGGGCGCACAGCACTGGAAGGAGTTGCCCAACCCAGCAAGTCAGCCCCTTTTTCACCTTTTGGTCACCATTCCAGGGGGTGGGGGAGGCACTCAGCAGGCCGCCTCCTACCTAGCCCTCCTTCTCCAGCCATTCTCTGTAGGCCCCGGTATAGTTGCAAGCCCTGCGGAGACAGAGGGACAGAGGGGTGAGGGGGGACAGGCCCGATAAGCAATCACTTCCCAGCTGGCAAGCCACACCTTTCCGTACCCTGTGTAGCCAAGGCCCCGGGCCAGCTGCGTGGCCTGGAAACCCCGCTTGCCAATCTGACAGAAGAACACCAGATTCTCATCCTCCGGCTTTGGCTTCTCGGCGGAGTACAGAGCCCGGAAGGCGGCTGGCTCCATCTGCAGGGCACTTTCTAGCTCTGACACTGGGAGGAGCCGAGAGGGCGGAACGCAAGGCCGGCAGCTGGGCGCTCGGGTGTGGAAGCTGGGTCCCGGCGGTGGGACAAGTCTCCAGAGGCCCCAGAGCATCCAGGACGGCCGCCCCCACCCCGACCTCAAGGACCAGCAGCAGCCTCCCAGCGCAGGAAGTCAGCCAATCAGCCCGGGAAGGGGAGCCCTTCCCGAGTCGGGAGGCAGAGTCGGGAGTCGGGAGTCGGAGGCGGAGGCGGAGCGGCCGCCCCAGGCACCTAGCCTCGGGCGGTCAAGCGCACAGGGGCGGGTCTGCCCCCTCCTGGCCGCCCGCCTCCCCCCAAACTGGATGGACCGGTTCCGCCGCCAGGATCCGCCTCCGATCGGCCCTTCTCCAGGGAGGCTGAGGGCTGGCTTGAGGGAATTCAGGACCCCCGTCACCAGCGGCGTCGAAGTGAGGTCCCATTAGCTAAGACCCTCTTGGATGGGCCCGCCTCCACCACCGGGACGCCCTCTCGGCCTCATACCAGGGATGTTGAGCGCACCAGGGATGGTCCCAGCTGCCGCCTCCTCCCGAGAGCGCACGTCGAAGAGCCGGGCGCGCCCCGA